GCTGGGGTTCCGTTCCTCCCGCAGCTCCGCTGGTTGGAGATTAGGCAGGCCGACTTGAAAGCGGACGCGGCCATTGTGAGTGCGTTGCGTTCCCGCTGGATCGACCGTCGGCCTAACACGGTGCAACTTCGGTCGGTGCGTTTGGTCGACAGCAAGCAGTTCCACTTTGTTTCACTTACGCCGGAGTACGCTACACTGTGGAATCAGTTGGATGCTTCAATCGATTGGGATGGGCTGTACGACTTGGGTATGGAGGGGATGGAGGTTTATGTTGGATCACCAGAGACGAACTTCGTCTGGGAATGGTGATGGCCGTCGGATCCTTGAAGTCGCTTTATGTATGTATTGTAAGAATACTAGCAGGAACCCGTGCTTCGCTACGGAAATATTTGGTCCAGTAATCAGAAAACTTGAAATCTGGTGTCGATACATGAAATAATTATCGGAATCATTGTTGTTGTTGAATTTTGAGGACACTCGTCACCAACCTGCGGTTGGTTCCTCGTGTCCCCCGTGTCATGTTAGCAGTAGCATTGAAGTTGTCATGTCTGAGACATGTACCAATAGTCGTAGAAATTCGAGACACTCGTCACCAACCTGCGGTTGGTTCCTCGTGTCCCCCGTACCATGTACCAGTAACATTGAATTCAATACATGCTAAAGTGTCGAAGTGACATGAATTCATAGGGAACGCAGATGGAATTCCATTGGTCTCAATGATAATTGCAATTCCCATACACTCGTTGCATTCTATCCCGATAACTCTCCCTACGATGCCTCGACCAATTGTCATAATTGTAGTGGAGAATGTGTTCAAGAGCCTGTGTTGGGTCTGTGCAATGTCTTCAGTATACAGTCCCAGATATCAGCAGGTACCCAAACCACAATCAGGAGCAAGTTCCAGCCGTCGTTCCGCAGCTTCAACGCGTCTCCGGAATTTTTGAGCCTTCGATCGCGGGTCCGGATCACATCGTTGCCTCTCGGATGACATGTCCTGTTCGATCGAGGCAGCCAGTTCTCGTTGTCGGCGAGCTTTCTGGGCTACAGAACGACGTGTCTTTGACGATTCAGACTCCTTGAACCAAAATTAGCATACTGCAATGTCAAGAAATATGAATCCTACCACTGGCCTACTGTTTCCCGGGCTTCTCGTTCTCGGCGTCGTTTCTGACCCAATGAACGCTGACTGGGCTTGATTGACTGGGGTCCCGATGTCCTATAAGCCATGTCAATGGCCGGAAGTCGTGTTACTACTCAGTACGCACTCCGAGGATGTCAGCACCGCCAGATGATCGGACAATGGCTGCCGAAAAAAACTGTGTCACCAACACCAGGATGTCAATGAGACATACCACAGGGAGGGAGACCTCTTGTTGAGTGTCAGTGGCTGGCTTGGGCAGCAGTCGACGCAGCTGAACGCGTTGAGCCATGACAGAGGACACGAAGAAGAAGGAACGCTCGTGCACAGCCCGAAGAAGTTTGATGGATGCCGTGAAGACATCAGCAGCTGACCGTTCAGCAGCCAATCAGGTTATCCCTTTGTGTATGTTGTCTTGTCTACAGGGAACACGTCTAATATTCTCATCTCGGAACTCGGCCCCGAGTTCAAATCCTTCTTTAAGCCGGAATCTCGCTAAAGAGGACGGAACTGGGAAACAGTAGGGGAACTCGGGGTAAAAGTAGGTCTTCTTTTGGTGGAATTCGGCTTTATGAGGTGGAACTCGGGGTCGTAGTGGAACTCGGGGTCGGAACTGGGAGTTTATTTAAGCCAGATATGACTGGAACTGGGAAACATGAGGGAACTGGGGACCGGAACTGGGAAACGTAAGGGAACTCGGCACCAGAACTGGGAAACACAAGGGAACTGGGGAACGTAGTAGCACAGAACCTTGCTAAAGTGACCGGAACTGGGAAACGTAAGGGAACTGGGCACCACTATGTGAGTGGAACTGGGAAACGTGAGGGAACTCGGCTCCGTTCTTGACTGGAACTGGGAAACAACAACAGAACTGGGAAACGTAACAGAACTGGGCACTTCTCTTTAGCACAGAACCTGCTTAAAGAGACCAGAACTGGGAAACGTAAAGGAACTGGGGACCGGAACTGGGAAACGTAGGGGAACTCGGCACCACTATGTGAGTGGAACTGGGAAACATGAGGGAACTCGGCTCCGTTCTTGACCGGAACTGGGAAACAACAGCAGAACTGGGAAACGGAACAGAACTGGGCACTGTTCTTTAGCACAGAACCTCCTTAAAGAGACCGGAACAGGGAAACATAAGTGAACTGGGGACCGGAACTGGGAAACGTAAGAGAACTCGGCACCGGAACTGGGAAACATAAGGGAACTGGGCACCATAGTATCACAGAACCGTGCTAAGGTGGCTGGAATTGGGAAACGTGAGGGAACTGGGCACCATTCTTCATCGCAGGACCTGCTTAAAGTAACTGTAACTGGGATGCAGCAGAGTTGTAAGGGAACTGGGAGTTTGTTGCCGAGTTCTGTGGTTTTCTATATCATTATGCAGTCAGAACTGGGAGGGAACTAGCTCATTTCATTAGCGTTGAATCACCTTAAAGAATAGGCAGTAGTAACTAACTGGATGTGAGAATAAGTGCAGCTGAAATGTAGTCAAAAGTGCAAGTTTTCTTTAAGCCAGAATCATGCTAAATAAATTTCCATAAGGGTGCCAACTGCACCATCCACTACATTAACAGAAGGTGCTTCTGAATAGAGAGGTATGGGGATATCAAATTACCATAGCAATGCTATATTTATATTACCATAGCAATGCTATATTTATATTACCATAGCAATGCTAAATTTGGAGCTGGGGCACATATATAAGGAGAGCTTCTAGAAGCTGAGCCACCCTTTGATCCCCCTTCTGCTACAGTGAGTATGCTTGCTTATATAATCACATTTCTTTAACAACTTTCCAACTTAAAGAAATCACCACACCATTTCTTTAACAAAGATTCAGCTTAAAGAAAAATCACCACCTCATTTCTTTCACAACCACTCAGCTTAAATAAAATGGAGGTAAGCTCAACTCAATCAACAATCTTTTCTTTAGTGCTCACACTTGTTAAAGAATATCACATTGAACACCAGAGGAGATTTGGTCACTACCACAGATCTACAAGCACTCAACATCAGTATCAATACTGAACTGCATCTCCTGATCTGCTGTAAATCTGCTTTGACTTCTGCCAACTACCAATCGCATTTCTCTCGCAAGCACCCAGGCATGAAGCTGAATGCAGCAGCGACAGCTGCCATTGCCAACTTTGAACTAGCAGCCCAATATCCGTGCCTTGGTGATTCTCGTATTGCCAGGCCTATCATCTCTGGCTTGCCCACCACTACCAATCAATACGGATGCCCAAAGTGTGCTTATGCTGGAAACAAGAGAGGTGTTGTCTCTCACCTGAAGGAGGACCACCCCCAGTCTCGCTTGGCTATGGAACAAGGCCTTACGACCCAGGTTCTGAACCTAGGCGCTACGAAAATATGCATTCGTGTTGAGGCTCAAGTCGAAGTGGCACCAGCTGACCCCAAGGACCTCCTAGCCAAGATCAAGTCGTTCGAGGTTCCTGCAGACCAACAGATTCCCAACGCCAGGCTGATCAGCCCATGGCTGATGGGAACGCTGTGGCACAAGGAGGTGGAGCCGCATCGTGAGCACCTGCCGGCTCTGTGCGCACTGGTGGCGATGCCCAAGGACGACGAGTTCCCTGACCTCCGTCGCTGCGTACAAGAATATTTCTACCAAGCGACGGCGCTGATCGAAGACACGGAGCTTCTGGTTCTCCAGAAGCTGAACACATCGAACCTTGACCATGAGTGGGCTTTTTTTTTCTTTAGTGTGGAGGACTGCTAAATAAATGACCTCAGGGAGCCTAACCACACTCCGCTTCATGAGCATCATCAAGGGACCACAACACTGGACCAGTACTTGGTCCCACTGGTGCATCTTCTGGCTGCTGTTCAGAGGACCTATGTTTCTAAACGAGGAAACAGTCGATAGTTTCCACCCATAAAAGGAAATTCCGGGCGAAACCATTGGTAGTTTGGTGCAAAAACAGGGAAACTGTAGGCATTAATAAGCTGGTTGCCTTTTATGGTGGAAACTGTCGGTAGTTTGGTGTAAAATCAGGAAACTGTCGGTGGTTTGGGCAAAAAAACCTCGTCTGAGCCAAAAACAAACCGTGCCAAAAAACAAAAGCTACAAGCACATTCGCGCGTTGTAGATCGTCAAAATTCTGGAGCTATAGAAAGAAAAAAAATTCCAGTGAAATGGCGAAACCAAACTGGTCTGAAAACGAGAAGCTACAAGCACATTCACAACGCTATAGTCTGGAAAAAAAATGGCTGTCAAAAAAACAAAAATGTGGAACAAAAACCGACCAAACAGTCGGTTGAAAACTGAAAAGCTACAAGCAAAAAAAAAACAGATCTGAGAGATCGCTGCTAAAAACAAAGATGCGCAACCAAAACAGCCCCAAAAATCAGCTCAAAAGTCCAAATCTACAAGCACCTTATAATGTGGCCAAATTCGAAAAAAATCAGGTTTCTCGGTCCAAAAGTCAAAACAAAGTCTTATAGCTTGCCAACAACCTATTTGGGAACTCACTCTCTTTTTGTATGGAACAAGTCACGTGACCTATAACGCTCAGTTCAACCTTATAGCTTTTTGCCGGTGACCCTTGATCCCGTCGACGGAGCGCCCAAGCCTACGATGTTTCTTGATCACAATAGCACAGTAAGCAAAACAAAAAGCGTCGGAAAGCCTTGAGAAGACAGTCCCGGGAATCGAACCCAGGCACACCCTACAATTAGACTGCACTATGTCCTGGGCACCATATTGTCTTGACAGTACCTGTGTATAGGCCAGTTCACAGGCTTGCATTCAAACCTCTCCGGCATCATTCATGTATGATGTGATGTGGGGGATCAATTCCGAAGGCAACTGAATTGATTTTTTCCAGTGTGCGTCGCTCACTTAGCACAGTGGTAGTGCATCGGATGAGGTCTTCGCTGTGTCTTGACTTCAATCCCGGTCCTGAGTTCGAATCTCAGAGTGAGCTTTTTTTGGTCCATGTCAGGCATCCACGAAGTCAAAGATAATGTGCACAATCTGGCAGGAGAATTCGGCGGGCAAGCACGCTCCCATCATTCAGGCATTGATGCCTTGGGCTGCCCATCATCCACCGTGTTTCTTGGTAAAAAACCAACCCCTTGCTCTGTCTATAGGCCCGTTCATAGGCCAACCTGCATTCCAGGATCAATTCACAGAACACAACGCAGTTCGACTATAACACTAATCTCAATGCTATAGCTCTTCCCTCGACTCCAAGTTCGGGGTGCTTCACTTAGCACAGCAGGAGTGCATTAGATGCATTTGTACTTCAACGACAAATTTCATTTATGGTCTGAATCCCAGAGTGAGCTGCTTTTTGTTCTGGGAACGCCCAGACCAGTTCGCGTCACACACACGGCCGCTGGTCGGTGGCCACTACGATTTATGAATTGCACTCTATAACGCTCATTTCAACACTATAGCTTTTTGCTCAGTCCGAAATCATCGCAGTGATCCCACACCACATTCGTGATTTCGCCCTCTGCACGCTCGTCAGCGTGGTTGACGCAAGGGAATTAAACTCACTCTGCATCTTCCCCCTTTTGCGAGCGTCCATCACGGCGTCAAAAAAGGTCCACTGGTCCCAAGCGGCCTGATCCCAAGCGCACCACTCGGGTGCCGCGCGCTTCAACCAGTCCCGGTCGCTGTCGAGGATGACATGGAGGAGGTAGACGACGCGCGGGTGGATTATGGATGCGGGCGTTGCCGGCCCCCGCACCAGCACGCCGACTTGGTCTCTAGTTTCCACCACGCGAGGTATGATGCTGATTGCGGGTTCAGCCGCAAAGCCCAGGTGGGTCAGGTTCGGGAAACAGTCTAGCACACGGTCATCGAGCGGCAGCCTAGGGCGTATCGTGCAAAAGTGCAGGTGGGTGACCGTGGGCAAGACGACATCCACCCAATGCTCGTCCGTTATCGCATAGAGCGCAGGGATCGTGAGCTCACGGAGACGGTTCAACCCCATCATGACCTTCATGTCCAAGAAGCTGCCGACTCCAAAGTGCTCTTCTATCCACAGAGTGACTAGCTGGGGGCAGGCCGCAAAAATGAGACCGTACTTGTCCGTCCATCCATCCATGTGGAGGTGCTGCACACGCTGTACTGGATGGCCGCTCAGCTTGATGGCAGCGAGAAACTTCTCCATGGATAGCAGGGGGAACAAGCCATTGGAGAGCTCTGTGGCTGCGCCCGCCTTCCTGGTGTCGTTTCCGACACAGAGGATTCTGTAAAAAATGTTCCAGACGCTAGGATTTGGCTTGTCAGTCGGCAGTTCCCTTGATTGGCGTCCACTTACTATGCGTGAGTGCGCTTGTTGAGCCCCAGCACGCTTTCTAAAGACTCTGGGTGTCGAGCACCCACCAAGTCGAAGATAATGTCCTCAATCTCGCAGGGGAATTCGGTGGGCATGGACGTCAAGCGCAAAGATGGCGCCCATCATTGTGCGGCCAATCACACCGCGTTGCTTTGTAAACACACAGACCCCGATCACTAAGCAAAAAGAACCCATCATCTCCGCTGTGTTTCTGTGTAAAAACACAGTATGGTCTCCCACTCACCAGGCATCATTCATGGGGGCAGACTAATCGCCCTCACAGTTTGGCTATAACACCGATTTCGACGCTATAGCTCTTCTGAAACCGTCGTGGTGCCGTCCGCGCGTGCGGAGTGTCTGTTCCTCAAGACAGTCATCGCGCCCTTCCCTCTCTGCGTATTTCTACACTAGGTGTCTAGGGCAACTTGCGCTCTCTTCGGCGTTGTTGACATTGTCGTTTGGGCTCTTCCTGGAACAATGGCGGAATGCCCTTCCAGTGACTCGGTTGCAACTGAAGTTCCTTCTAGGGGCCTTGCACCGCTCTCTGGCGGTCGAAAAAACCTAAAGTGTCAACAAGCGTCGTATTACGATCGCTTTGCACTAGTTCGGTAGCATCGCGCCAGTCTGCAACACCCTCCCCGCACCTTGATCTATGACATCGCAGCCGAAAAAAACTCAAGTGTTCCGTGGGCCGCATGTGGCGTGGGAAAGCCTTTGCGAACCTCATTCGATGTGCGATAGCGGAGTGAAAACGCCGTTGGGCAGAAGTCTGAAGTCATATCCAATGCCTTTGAGGCTGCCCAGGCGGGTGGTGAGAACCACAGACCCAAGTTCAGCGGAAAATCACTGACACCCGTCTGAGATCTATCGGCGGCAGCAAGGAACCAAACTCGTCTCGTTGGGCTATGAAAGACTTTGGGTCAGCTGTTCCAATATTTTGGTCTGAAACTCAACCTCACACAGGACAACCATATTTGGGTGCCGTCTGAAAGAAAGCTACGTTGTTCGTGACGACTGATGCCGTTCGGCTATAACACTGATCTCTACGCTATAGCTGTTCCCTGTCCAAGTCCCAAGCTGCGTTTCTTTGTAAAAACAAAAGCCCGGGGGGTCTGTTCTTTTGTAAGAAAAAAAAAACAAGTGCTACATAACGACACTCCTGGGAATCGAACCCAGGCACGGACCGCAATATGTCCAGGGCACCATGCTGTCTTGACAGTACCCTGTCTATAGGCCGGTTCTGTAGAGCTTTTAGTATTGCCATGGCTTTGCACTAGTTCGGTAGCTTCGCGCCAGTCTTCAACACCCTCATGACATGCCGGCCGAAAAAAACTCAAGTGTGCAATCGGCGTTGCATTCAATATGCCGTTGGGCGGAGGTCTGAAGTCATATCCAATGCCTTTAAGGCTGCCCAGGCAAGTGGTGAGCACCAGAGACCCAAGTGCAGGGGGAAATCGTAGAACACGGGTCTGAAACTCAACGTAGCCGTTCCTTTGTAAAACAAATGGCTATAACGCTGATCTCAACGCTATAGCTCTTCTGTCGCGCTCGTTCGATCATTCGTCTATTGATGCCCCGTTCTTGTAATCAACCCGAAAGAGTTGCGGTGCTCCCACACCCGATTCCTTATCGGCCCAGCTGCGGGCTGTGAGTGTGTTGACGGTGAACGATCAACGCAGTCGAGCACGCACCCAGAAGCTTGCCTGTTTTGCGAGCGTCCATCACCGCGTCAAAGAACGTCCACTGGTCCCATGCTGCCTCGTCCCATGCCCACCAGTCCGGCGACGCGCGCTTCAGCCAGTCTCTGTCCTCGTCGAGAATGATCTGAACGAGGTAGACGACGCGGGGGTCGACTATCAAAGTGTGCCTGGTCGTCCCACGCACGAGCACGCCGAGGGTGTCGCTGGCTTTCAGCGCTCGGTGGACATCGTCCGGGCTGGGCTCGGCTGCGAACCCTAGGTGGGTGAGGTTGGGAAAGCCCTCGAACACGTCGTCATGAAGAGGGTCGGTGGGCCGCACGGTGCAGAAGTGAAGGTGGGTGACGTTGGGCAAGACGACGCCGACCCACAGCTCGGCGCTTGCGCCGTACAGGGCCGGGATGGTGAGCTCGCGGAGGTGGTCCAACTGCATGAGAACGTGCATGCCCAGGGACCTGCCCGCTCCAAAGTACTCGTCGATCCAGAGGGTGACGATGCGGGGGCAGGCGGCAAAGATCCGCTGATGGCTGCGGGTCGATCCACTGAGGTGGAGGTGCTGAACGCGGCGGACCGGGTGGCCAGGGCGTTCTATGGCCGCCATAAAGCGGTGCATGGGCAGCAGCGGGAACACTGGCGCCTGGCCACTGATGGTCGCGCCACCGCCAGCTGCCGTCGCGTCCTATCTATCTTATCCAAAAAATGACCGCCCCAAACCATGAAAAATGACTTTTTTTCGGAAATTTACCACTCTATAAGCTCAAAAAAAAGCTATAGAGTGTCAAATTCTGTAAAAATCACCGCTTGGAAAAATTTCTGACCGCCCCAATCCAGAATAAATGACTGCCTAAATCCCTCTATAAGGCCTCATGACCGCCCCAATCCACCTCTATAAGGCTTGATGACTGCCCCATTCCAGACTATAAGGTGAACTATGGCCAAAATACCATGTTCACGGAATGAGGCAGTCATAAATTCTTATAGAGCTGGATTGGGGCAGTCATAAATTCCCATAGAGCTGGATTGGGGCGGTCAGGAAGCCTTATAGAAAGGATTGGGGCGGTCAGCTCTATAAAGGGTGGAATGGGGCAGTCAGCTCACCATATAGAGTAGATTGGGGCGGTCAGCTCTATAAGGAAGGAATGGATTGGGGCAGTCAAATCTATAAGGCAATTGGAATGGGGCAGTCAGCTCTATAAGGTGAGTGGAATGGGGCGGTCAGCTCTATAAGGAAGGAATGGATTGGGGCGGTCAAATCTATAAGGCAATTGGAATGGGGCGGTCAGCTCTATAAGGTGAGTGGAATGGGGCGGTCAGCTCTATAAGGAAGGAACGGATTGGGGCGGTCAAATCTATAAGGCAATTGGAATGGGGCGGTCAGCTCTATAAGGTGAGTGGAATGGGGCGGTCAGCTCTATAAGGCAAGAAACAAAGTGGTAGATTGGGGCGGTCAGGCTCTATAAGCAGCACAGTAGTGTTATATCCCTCCGGACAGTCCCACCTAATAGAGATCTCTGTAGTGGGCACCAGAGGTGGTGACAGCGTATAGAGAGTGATTCCCGGCAAGAGAAGAATTGTTTGCAACACTAGTGTGCATCTACAAGGCCTGAGATCCTGTTATAGTTGCACAGTTGTTGCCGGGAAATCTTTCGCCTAGCACACAGAAAGATTTGAAAATCTACAAGGCGGAATTGGGTGTTATAGATTTTCATTGCTAATTCACAAACAAAAAAATAACTGTGAACTATATTTTGGTTAGAAAATGTGTACGGCCAGTAAGAGATCAAACATACCTATCTACAGTGGCTGGCACCATGATGTGGCAGCACCATACTATAGCAGGTATCGGTATAGCGGATTTGCATTCATATTATACATTTACGGGGTATTGCCCAGATAGGAGAGAAACTAGAGCCTAGAGATGCTAATAGAAGCTGAGAG